GTCGGGGGGGGGGGTCTTCCTAGCTATAGTCGAGCATTATGGCACGAACGGCGGTGCGCTTCCGTACCATCCGTGGCCGACACACACGATCTCCGTCCCTGTTCTCGAGGACTGTGCTCGCGTACAGGGAATCAAGTTCCATCAAGGAGACATTCTCGTCTCACGCGTCGGGTTCATCCAGATACGTCCAGGTCCTAGCTGGCACGCGACGAGATGGCAGACTCTGACCTTGTGCTTCGGACTTCGCGTTGAGTTGACACCATTAGGATCCACAGGTCATACTGAAGTACTGCAAATAGCTCTGACTATCGGGATAGAGAAATCCATACATCATCCACATAGGCTCTGGGATATGCCATTCGTTTAGCCATCTCAGGTCCAAAGGCAAGATCGAATCAGCTGACCACTAGACCAGACGAGGTCTTCGACGTCAAGAAGCTGTCCTGAGGCGTGCAAAAGTATGCGTTGTTACACGTTCTTCTTGTCGTTGTGACCTCTTCATCCTATGTACAGCCCGGTTGTTTCATCCCAAAAATGGCTCACACTGACTACCGCTTCGTAGCCTCGGCGGCGTTGCCAGCCCCCCTAGTGCCGCAACAAGATAATGTCTGCTCCATGTCACGCTTGTATTGACTATAGGCAGGCTTACTTTTGACATGACCAACCTCGAAGAGAATTGAAGCTTGAAGACGGGCGATCGATATTCGTACTATAGCTCGTACTTAGTACAAGTGCCCTGACTGTATCTAATTGACTCCCAGAATCCTATACCCGGCATCGTAACGAGCCGTCTGTGGTACATTCCAGGGTCCTGGTAGCTGTTAAATCCGAATCAGCCGATCGTGTGGTCGACGTCCGAGTCCAAGGACAGCCAAGGACGAACAAAGACCGTGGGATTGAACAATGCGCGCTCACGTGCGTGGCCGCGCCCCGTTGAAACCGGCTTGGGCCTCGACGTCGACGAACCTCCGTCTGCTGGTTTTGGTCTCCTTTACCTTGCTTCCTACCACCTCTCCTGATGTGCGTGACCTGTCTTGACCCTGGCTTATAGTATTGATTGGAACGCAATAGCCTTGTTTATTTTATGCCAGTTGTGGCCCGCCCATCATCTCACCTTCCAACGAACCCTTCATGCCCACACCGGCTTTCATCATCGAGCATCCCGAACGCTTCCCTCAATCAGGATCTACGCAACTGTCGAATACCGAACGCAAATATGCATATCATTATGCTTTTGACGACACCCGGCTAGCAGAGAGGCATCTCGCATACGGTAATCTCGGGAAAGATCTTCTCTGCCCACCGTCTCCTAAGCCCAATGAAGCCCCTAATTTTGCAACCGACTTCCCTGAACGGTTCCGTGCCGTCATGCAAGGCGTGCCCAACATCAAGGCCGCCGGATGTGGTTGGACTCGCGTCAGAAATATCGCGCGTCTGAAGTGTACGCAAGGGCTATGGACCGGGTTCGCCGCACGCGTCGACACAGTGGAAGAAGAGGACTCGGACTTCGAATGGTTTCTGCCAGAAACCGAGGAGGAATATGCTGCCTGGGAGGAGCGGAGAAATGAACAGAAGAAGGGCAAAGCAGAGAAAGTGGCGACGGATTTGGAACGACATATCTCGACCCAGCGCGACCTTTCGCTTCGCGACCCCAAGAAGCTGAAGGAGGCCCACTCGAAGGTTACTCAGTGGCAAGCGAGTCTAGCGCCTACGCCTGAGGGAGATGCTATTGTTCCTGCCAGCAATCCCGTTCAGTCTAAGCTCTCCGGTTCCCAACCCTTGACTGTTTCTTCTTCCCAACAATCAAAGCTTTCCTTTACCGTGAAGAAAGGCGGAATGTCGGCGGTGGCAAAGGGGAAGCAGAAGGCTTCAACGCCCATGGTCTCTCCGGCAGGTTCGGTGGAGCCGATCAACCTCCCTGGGCTTAAGCAGCTGCCTCCCGCTCTTCCGAGCGGCTCTCAGGAGCAGGGAGGCCCCCGAGAACCGCAAGTCTCGGCAGCTGCTCTTCCAGTTCCTGAAGTGTCGTCTGCTTCACCGACGAAGGATGCCACGGATGCACCTCGTATCAGCCAGCTATCCGATGTCAGTCGCCACTCTTCGACTCATCTACGAGCCCTTCTGACGTCTCTCACAGCCCTTCCAACAACCCTCATTTGATGACGTAGTCACATCTACGCAACCAGGCCCGTCCAGGGTTCACTCGTTGCAAAAGATTCCACCAATCCTACGAGAGGCCACGCCTGTCAGGTTGACGTCTCCCCCGCCCTTTCCAGGGACCCAGCAGGACGAGATCGTACCAAGCTCGTCACCTCCGCCGTCACCTCCACCCGTCTCAAGAAAACGGTCGCGCGAAGCTTCCCAACCGCGGCGACGGGATAGCGACGAAGAGTTGTACGCACCAAGCAGTCCGACGAAGAGGCCTCGCGTTGTCGAACCGGCACCAGTGCCGGTGGCACAGGCTTCCAGCCTTCCGCGCATGTCAACGCCGCCGTTATCCGAAGCACGCACCGATTCATCTTCCGTCCCCGGTCTGGGTAACGCGGCTGCTGTCTTTCCCATTACGCCCTCACGCACCGGTCGCATACCTCCCAGTGGAGAAAGGGTTTTAGCCTCGTCTCAACGGTCACGTTCAAGACCTCGACCGCCGTCGCGCAGCGCTAGCAGAGCCGCCAGTAGGGCACCATCTCAGCATGAGACAGGCCGCGCACAGACGCCCGAACCCGCACCAATGCCCAAACCTTTCTTCTCCTCCCAGGCGTCGGACTCATCTGAGAGCGGCGACGAGGGTATGCCACCCCCCGGATTATCGCCCATTGCCGACTATACGGCACATCCCAGCGCTTTTGCGCCGCAGTTTACGTCGACGCAGAAGGGCGGGACGGGTTATGGTGGGCTGGCATACAGTTCGCAGTACGATGTCGAACACGACGTAGGAAACATCTCGCATCGCCTAGATCAGGACGTGGACTTTGAACAGTGGCTGCACAACTCGCCTGTACCGGACGAGTGACAATCTATCTTTCTCCGTGGTGTATTACATAGTTTTCCGGATTGTGCGCACGAATACCACATTGCTACTCTCGGGTCATCAAAGCTATGTATGGAGTGTTGTGTGGCGACAAGCGCTCAGCCGAGATGCTGCGTGCAAGAGTGATGCCAGGGTAGGAGGCCGTCCGCGGCTACGTAAGGACCTGTATGACGGCGATCATTCAAAGCGTCTCTATGGGCCAATCAGGCGAATGAAACCCTCTTTTTGTGAGGTCTGTCGACGTTTCCAAGGCCGATCTTCTCTTTGGTAGGTATACTACTAGTACTCTGCGCTCTTGACTTTCCGTTCTTGCGTGCTCGTGCTTTTTTTCTGCGTTCGTCAAGCAGTCGAGCTTTCGCAGCATCCTATCCATTGTAGCGTCAGCACAAGCATCACCTAGGGTTAAAATCGGAAAGTACATACGAGTCTGGCGCCGCTACGAATTTTCTTGTCACTCTCGGACTTACGTTCCCTGGCCTGACGTGTTCGTCATGATCAGTACATGCGACCTACATCTACATGAGGTCACCAACTGGCTTTGTAGTTGACGTGGGGCGTTGAATTTTAGAAGCTTTAGCCTCCGCCTTCTCTTCTGAAGATGTAGCGACTGACAAAGCTAATGCTAACGCCGCGTCCTGAACGAGTGACGTGCCTCATATCAGTACACCTGCAATACCGTTCACGCCGAAAGAGCTTTTGTTACCTTCTGGTCGACGAACGCCTTGCGACTTTCACGGGATGTCGCGCCCATTACCGCGCCCAGATAGACAGCGAGGGATCAGAGTGTCAGATACCCGCACTGTTCGCTGCAGGCTGTCCCCAACAGTGGAAGGCTGCTCCACTAGCCGAGGCTAGATGATGTCCACTGGACCCAGGGAAGTCTGAGGCTAAACTTCATATGTCGCGCACGCGCACAAGAATTTGGACGAACAGCGAAGTGCACGTTGTGCCTAGTGAGGTTACTCGTCTCACAGTAGTGGTTAGAGATGCCGTAACTGGTGGCCGAATGAGGGTGAAGGCGGTCCACTGCCGACGCTGTGTATTTCGCCTCGGGTTCGGCACATTCCAGCCGTTTCTCACGCCCCGGCTCGGAGGAGAGTGACGGCGAGCCCGAGTTCGCTTGCGACGACCATCTTCTGCTCGTCTAGAGCGCCCTCTATGCCCGACCAAACCATTGCTCGACGTTCCCGTCTACTGCTACTGCGTGATTGTCTGACAACTTGCTGATTGCACGGCATGACTCTCCACCCAACCCTGACTTAGAAGGCGATACGAGACAAGCCCGTCCAGCCGGATCGTTCGACTCATGCCTGTATGCATAACGCGCATAAGGCCATTACGGGGCTGTTCGGAGGACGCGTCGCATATCAAGATTATCTCAATGCAAAACATCTCGATGACAGTGCTCTGTGATCTCCAGTGCGCGATACAGTTGTGGGCGTTCAAGGGTCCATTGTAGACGCATCTTTGGCCGCTACCGTTTCCCGTCTCCGAAATTTGCTCGTATCTGGGCCGCCCGTACCCGGGAACATGTCGGCATGCACTCGAGGGGGGATCATCTACGTAGTCTTGTGATCGGCGACGACGTTCTCGCTCCCGCGCGCGCGCGAACAGTTCATCTCGCGATGTCGGAGCAATGTACGGGCACGAAATGCGACAAACTAAGCTGTACTGGATCATACATCATGATCTTGCCTCTCCGTACTCTCGGTACTCGTGTTGTCTGGATGGGTCAGCCCTGTTCTCTTCGCATCGTCATGACCAAGGTAGCCTCTCGTGAACTGCACGATACGGATTTACTCGGGACCCTATATAAGGGGCTCTGTCAGATAATTCATGCTTCATCATCCCACCTTCATACTCAGCAAGCTACATCCGCTACATCCGTCAGGTACCTGCCATAATGTGCCACATCAGACGGTGCGTTCTGTTCGTTCGAGATGTACCCTCAGAAAAATAATGTCCAACAGAGTACACAACGTATACACTTGCGGCCACCGCATCCCACTGGTGCGGAATCACACCGCTATGCTCTTTACCAATTCAACTGACCAGCTATCTTGGCCAGCAGGACGAGAATGTGAGCTATAGTTGGTGACGCCATATGGTACAGTGCTAATGCGTACCACCCAGATTCACTGCAACTCCCCAAACTGCAAATTCAGCTCTTTCCATCCTCAGAACTGCCCGCAGGCGTTTTGTAAGAAGACGTGCTGGCAGTAGTAAGTAGAACTATCCATCAGTCTGCCGCTGCGATCTTAACGATATTGCCTAGTCGCCAGTCTCCAGAGCAGATACGTAAGTGATACACGTTGAGTCTAGTCATATTCAGATGGCTTACTGGTAGCAGCGCTTCATCATCAATACCCGTGCCATGCCTGCGCCCGTTGATCATCAGGCTGCACTCTTGTCGGTGCTCACAGCTGCAGATGCCCCGGTTTCCACGCACCATGTTTACCATACCCGCGCGGGCTTCATTACGATCTCTACTCAAATCGTTTAGACTTTCTCGTTCCCAAAGTTCCTCCCCCCTTAATTATGTGGTGATCTAAGTTTCATCATACCCTATACCACTATGTATCGTTACACGAACTTTCGCACTCGCTCGAACATTTCCGCTTGGACGTGTATATATTATCTATCCTGGCGGCAGCCTGTGTCTAGTACTCGATAATGACGAACCTCCTGTCGGTAGCGATCATCGGACAATACTCGGCGTCAAGCTTCAAGTATGGTCTTGACCGGTGCCACGGTGCCGGACAAGCCATGTCATACTTACCATGCAGATCACGGGTCGAAAAGCCTGTGCTCACTATTTGCGAGCAGGCAACCGAGTTAGATGACAGCGGATCGCACCAATCACGGTGCCTGTCGATAGATAGGGACATCATTCATCGGCACATCAGCCAAAAGGCGTGGCTTTCTCTCCGAGCACGCAGCAAGGGCAGCAACCTGAGCATGAATTCGGTACCCTACGCACACTCTAGCGAACGGAGTCTAAACGAGTCGGAAGTGTATTCATATCCTCCCTCGAAGGTTTGCGGCATAGAGGCTTCGTTCTGTTAGATTGAGCTTCCCATGGACTCGTAACCCGACAGACGCCGGGTCCTACGCGGAGCAGGTCGAGCGGGTACTTGCGAGTGTGTGTCGATAGATGCCTGGGGCACTTGATCCGTTGCTTCGTCGGCGTCGCTCAGAGTGCTTCCCTCGCTTTCTGTCTGATTGTGTTCCGACGTGAGAGCGCCTTCCACAGCGGCCGCGGAGGGTGCGGCGGCGGCGACATTACGAGGTTGTTCGGCCCTTTTGCGCGACAGATCATCTAGATTACAGTCCGGTATCTTCGCTATCGTCAGTGACGTGTGAGCGATCATGCTTCATGAGCGAGAACGTACAGGAAGACGGATTATGTAAGCAAGTAGCGTTGACGTCGCGGCCATGATGAACACGGCGCGAATCGCGATAGCGTGCGATGCCGTAGCTTGGTCTTTGATAGCCGGGGGTAAAGTGGCGACTATCGTTGCAGAGTGACGAATGCTGTCAATTATCTAGAGAGATATATCAGCGCCATACTGCAGCGCAGCGTCCCACTTAGTACGCACTGAATCAGCATCGGAGCCGGTTATGCGGCTTTTGAGTTCTCTGTCCAAGTAATATTGAAATATAGCGCTGGAGCTACCCACACCAGACACCTGACCTGGTTACAAACATGCATTTAGATGTGCGCGGAGTTCATAGTACAGTATCCCGCACCTAGTCCACGAAATAGTTGGCCGAAGCCTGTGCCCACGGCCACGTCAGATTCCGGCAGATTGGCTAATAACGCGACTGGACGTGTAAGAGTCAATATTGTGACCACTTTGAGGTGAATGCAACGAACTAATCATCGTTTGCAACACGATAGAGTTGCCAAAACCAAGCGGTATCTGCCAAAATGGATGACTTCCCGAAACTCATGATCAAGTGGCCGACTGACGATGCTGAACCACTGTGTGAACACGCCCGACTCCGGTGTCATGCGTACGAGCAGAATTGCAGCAAGGAAGGGAAATGCTCCGAAAGTTAGGTTAAGCTTCTTGTAGTGGCCTGTCTTGTGCATGACCCAGCCCGCGAAGAGAGATCCTGTTGACGTCGCCACGCTGTTCGGGACTAAGTGGAGTCCTAGAAACGCAAGATGGTCATCATGAGCGGTTTCGATTGTTGTAACGCCATTCAGACGTGAAACGAACCAGCGGTAGATGCACTCGTAAGAGCGCAGGTGATGAACCACATTGGAAAGTAGTACCTTCATGATTCATCAGATTCGAGGTAAGAAAAGTGGTCAAATAAACGTACGTGATGGCGAAATTGCACTGTGCCACAAGGAGGTTACTCAGTCCTACGCAAACTGGCACTTTCTGCTTCAAAAGCGCTGGCGCTAGCATGGGCGCAGGTGCAAAGCGCAGTTCGAAGGTGAGGAAGAGAATAAGAAACACGGCCGACAACGCGAGCGGGACAGCTACAGTCACATCCGAAATCTACCGAAGACCTCAGTATATGCATTGATATCCGAATTGAAAGAGCGTACCTCAAGGCCCTTATTAAAGCGGTTGCTCAGGAATATCAAGAACGAGAGAACCTGAGATTGATCAGCTTCATTTCAAAGACAGACTCATGTCCTAGACCTACAGATCCCAATAGAGTTAGCGTTCCTCCATAGTCTATGTGCTTCAGTACGTCAATGGTACGTTTGTGGCTGCCCTGTTGCTTGATCAGTTTTGGATGCTACACAAGTAGAGGTTGAAGGCGCACAGGTGTAGCGTATCTGAGATTGATCGAGGTAAGGACGAATGCCACGACGAAGAACGGTAACTGAATCAGGAACGCCCAGCGCCACCCGAACCTGCAAGGTACGATGAGAAGGTATAGAACCATAGATTGTTGAGATAGCTCACCGATCGCTGATGAAACCGCCCATTGGTCCGCCAAGTCCCATACCGAGCTAGACATGTAATGAGAACGCCGATGGTACGAACCACGCATAGAGGTCACTCACCGCACTCCAGAAGGTCGCAATACCTTGTACGAGTCCTCGCGACTTGATTCCTCATCAGAATTCATGAACCCGGCTGTAGCGAAGGTTGGCTTACTTTAATACTGAACAAATCGCTCGTGACGATTCTGGAGGGTGAAGGTCAGGACGTCTTCGTTTGGGAAAGAATGAAGCACAGACGTTGCCGTCGTATTGATACCTCCGCCGCCTATACCGGCAAGCTTGGGCTTTCATCAGCACATCTCCACAAGGAATTTCCGTTCTGTGCTGCTCACGAATCGAGCCACAATGAGCATCTCCATGTTCCCGGACAGCCCGCAGGCGAGGGTGCCCAAGGCCGTAAACAAGATAGCGGATTGATTTGCACCTCGGCGACCGAGGATGTCGCAGAGTCGCCCATAAAGAGGAGTGAACGTACTCGTAGCAAGCAAGTACCTGTGCGAGTTGAGTTCAAGCATTGACGTTCAGGACTATCGTTGACTCACGAAGTTCCTATCCAACTTGCTTGGTTGGACTGGTTGAACTGAGATGATATGGATGGGAGCACTAGCAGAGGATACATGTGTCAGATGCGTGAAGAGCATGTAGGATGCATGAGAACGCACGTGTCGCAACCAGCGTCACTAGACTGGGGGTAAGTAAGGCCGTATATCAGAACCGTTCAAACACTCACTATTCAGGGCCTAGTACACACATCAGTCACGATGAAGCTTGAAACGATTGATATACGCTCACTTGCAGGAAATTTGCAGTCCAGATGCCGGCCAGCACGCCATAGCGAGTTGCACGAGAGATTTCGCGCGGACCAGGGAGACTTTCATGTTTATGAGACGCTAACAACGGCGTGTTCTCTGCAGCATGGGTGGTATTACCAGGCATGGCTGATGTGTGCCAAGAAGACACCGAGTATCACGCGCAGCCTTGTGCACTCGAAGGTGATGGTTTAAGGCAACCGTATACGTATAAAAGGCATGTCGTGCTCGTGGTGGCGAGCGTCAAGTTAGGCGCTCATGTTGGCATCAGGCCGAGGATCCAGCACGTCATCGGCGCAGTCGCGCGGATATTGCCGGATCGCGACTGGTCGACGGTGTCGCTTTGCCTCTGACCACCACAACCAATGTCATCGTTTGCAAGAAACTGAGAAAGAAAGCACTTGGATGCTCTGAACGTCGGTGTGCACCTGGAGCTTCTCTCGACTCATCACTATCAGAGTACTCGCCCGTGGTATCACCTCATGACCAGTGCGACTATCAGGCGCTGCTTCGCGCAGTAATACTCGCCTTCTTCTCAATTGGTGTCTGTAAGGTGATTCTGATTGATAAGTTTCTCATGAGCATATACGCTATGCGGGCTTCTGAGCGGCTTGACTTACAGCCTAGATCATCACACGGTGTACCCCATGACTGCAGCTTCTATAGCGTCTCTGGGAAACATGCACACCTTAACTACCGCGGCGAAGGCGTACAGTGTGCCCTTGACCCACCCCACTAAAACGCTCCCTCATACCATTATTACCTGATTCGAGACACCACTTCCCTTAAGCTTCAAGCACCACCTATCCATCCAACAACCGCCATGTTCCAGTTATCTCGAGGTGCCATTCAGCGCGCTGTGCGTGCGCCCAAGAGCACTCGCATGATGTCGTCCGGACACGGACACTACAACGTGCGTCAGCCTCATGTCTACCTTTCAGACCTTCACTGAGAACCTTGAGTAGCATCTGCCTTTCAAGTGGGACACGACGAAGCAATTCGCCGTCCGCTACATACCATTCATGGCCCTTGGCACGGTCATCCCATTTGCCGCCTGCTACTACAAGATGTAAGTGCCTAAACTTTATGTATGTATGTCACGCTAAGCCTCCCCACAGTAAACGCTTCCCGCAGTAAATCATGGACATCGAAGGCCTGAAAGGCGGGGTCGCAAAGAACGGACTTGTACAAGGATCGCTATCATCTGTAACCATACACTTGCACTCTGAGCTGTGGCTCTCCGCATCGTCAATATAGCATTGTCATCTGTACAGAAGGCTCTCTACGCGCGATCAATGGAGCTGCAGACTCAAGCCAGGCCAGTGCATCTGACGCGAGCGCTAACACCTAGTCCGCCTAGTATCCTCATGGTGTAGGGGATCAAACCGATCACTCTACAGTCAACCGGTGATGTTGGACTTCGATGTTATCGACCTTCCAAAGCTCCGCTTCGACCCAAGAATGACATCCTGCGCTTGATTCGGGCAAGAATAGGACAGCCGCCTACAACTCGCGTCGTCCTAGCAGAGTGGAACCTACCACGCACCTCCGTCATGCGAGTCGTCTGTTCACCCTTCAAAAGCACAGAGCGAACACTCCTGGCGCTCAGGTAGCTACTCTTCGCCATGTCAACACTTATAACTCTCTACTTCTTGCTTATACTCGCATTACTAGGCTTGCGCTGGATTCGTCATGAACGGCCTAGTACCCTCGAACAGGTCCGTGGCGTCCTAGCGCCTCACGCTCTTCCTCTTGAAGCGCACCTCCGACGACGGTCCTCCGCCAACACGCGTCTTGCGCGCGTATTCAAACTCTCCAACACCTTCGTACACGCCGATAGGAGCATCCACAAGACATTCGTCGCCGACGCCCGCAGTCTGCTCCAGCGATGGGACGCCGCGACTTTCCCAGATGTGACGCGCACCGTCTTAGACGCGTACTCTAAGCTGTTACCAGCGAGCATCGCTTTCGACTCGCTCGTGCAGCTCATCACCTTCACGTTGGTAGCCGAGACGCTACTCGGTGGACACATTGCGCCTGAGGAGTGGCGAGAAGTGCTTGTAGTCACGCAAGGCATCAACCACCTCTGGGAAGCCTCCAAGAAGACCACGCGTGTGAACGCCGAAAACAATGACCTTCGCGCGAAGATGGACGCCAGTCTACGAAGATGGCTACCTCATCTCGCCAACCCTCTCGATTTCGTGATACCAGCGTACGAGACGATGTGGCGCGTCGTCGCAGTCCTCATTGGGCGCGTAGCCGGCACAACGAACGCCGGAACTTTACTCGCATACTTTGATGATCCCCGGGATATCACGTTCCGTGTTACGACCGACGGTCCTAGCGCCGAAGCTCTCGTCAAAGAGGTCTTACGCCTACACTCCCCCGTGCGACGCATCTCAAGAAGCACCTCTTCATCGCGCCTCTCCCGCGCACTCTGCGCCGCCCTTCCTCGCTGGGTTCGACCTACATCCATCTGCACAGCAGACCTCGACGCTCTGCACCGCGACGTCTCAATCTGGGGCAAGTCCGCGGGCGACTTCGACGCAACTCGCTTCGACTCTTCCCGCTTGACGCCGGAGCAGAACGCCGCGTGGACGCCGTTCGGACATGGCCCGCTGAGCTGCGTCGCCGCGCGCGATGCACCTCACTTGGCTGCGCTCATTGCGGGCGCTGTGATTGAGCGCTTGCACGAGGGCGGGTGGAAGTTGCAGCGCGGGCCCCGGCTAGGCGCCAGACGAGGTTGGGATGGGTGGTCCGTCGGGATCACGCCCATACGATCAACGACTGCCTGAGCTCTACAGGACCACGAGATCCATTGTACTATAGTCATTCTGTCCTCTGTATAAGTATAAGAAGCCCTTCGCATGTATCACTACGTCTCCAGCAACCTCTTGACCTCCATCTGTAACGCCTGACCATCGCTCTTCAGCTGCCACAAAGACCCTCCGATATCGTCCTTGTCCGTGATCTTCATAGCCAATGTACCCGCCGCGCCCGCTACTTCCCCGAGTATGAGATCTGTATCTGTATAACACCGTTGTGAGCAAGAGCGAAGAGCGTGACGGGCGCTGAGTGGAAGACGAACCGTTCGACGCCGTGGACTCGACGCCGAGCGTACCGCCGAGTGTCCGGAGTTTCTTGACGATCTCTGAGCCGGGCTCGGCGTACCACCCTCGAGCTGTCCACGCAGTCGGATTCTGCCATGTCTGTGTGAATGCCGCGCGATCGAAGGTGCCGCTGTGTGATTGGGCGCTGCCGGGGTCGGAGAGGAAAGGCGACTCGATGCTGATGAGACTTGAAGTAGATGCACCGTGCTGCCCGCTCGTGATGCTGGGCCGCTTCGGCGTACTTTCCTGCAACAAGTCATATCAGCAAGATCCCTCTCGAGCCTGCAAACAGTGCACATACCCCCTTCTCGGTGAGAATGCTATCGTTCATACCGTCCGTATCGATATTGAGACGGCTGGTTGAGGCGACAAGTGAATCGGGCGACGCGTACCACGCCTCTATGGACGCGGAGAGATCAGGAAGCTAGCAACCTCATCAACACATACCCAGTCACTACATCCCGAACGAGGTGCGTACCGAGCGCGATTGCGTGCGGCCCACGACTGCTCGCAGCAGTTCTTGATCCTCAGAAAGCCGTAGGTATTGCTGACATCTCTGGTACACACGTCAGCCATCTCATCAAGGAAGGCTGGGTTCGCAAAGACGCACTCGACGGATATGCTGCCCTGAAGTGTCCTGGAGCTTCTTGACTCGTTCGGTAGCAGTAGAGACGGGACCGTCGCATTGCGAGGCCGCGCGCACCATAGCCAGTAAGATGACTTCCTGGATGGAGGCTGAACCATGGCCGCTTCAGCTCCTTGCGCGCATTGAGATCGGCGAAGGGCATACCGGTATACTGATGCAGAGAGCCAGAGAGGGAGTCGAGCAGCGATGAAGGTGAGACGGATACAGACTCGCCGTACTCCGCCACTAGTGAAGCGATGATGACGACGAATGTCGGGTTGACGGCTTGTTCGTTTGTCGTGAATGCTGCTAGGACGGCGGTAGCTGCGTCACGAGCGAAGTCCTCGTCTTCTACCAGGCTATCAGCAGGATATATCAACTTGCGTACAGATATGGGCGTACCAGAGCGCAGAGTTGATAACACGAGTTCGATGACCGGACCCAGCAGAGATTGGGAAAGCGTGTTAAGCGCTTGATACAGTAGTGATCCGAAACCAGCCCCGTCTCCCACGGCAAGTACGAGCGCCAATTCGATCAGCATAGCGATAGCGTCGACTGTGGGAGACGATGTATTGCTCTCCAGGAGTTGGTCGAATCTCGTGCGCACGATCTCGTTGTCGACGCGGCAGAGTATACGGGCTGTCTTCAAACCCTTCATCAGCTATCTGGGCATCGAGCAGGAAGCTCAAACTGACCTGAATCCGTATCAGAGGATCGGGGCTCGCCATAAGCTGCACGACCCTTTCCACCTCCAATGCATCCAAGAGCAGCGGCCGCTCGGGAACCGTGCCGGCCCAGACATCCGGGTCCACGCAAGATAGACAGGCGAGGAAGAAGGCCTGTTCGTTGGCGTCCCCGGACGAGAGGTAAGGTTGGACAGGCTGGACGAGGGCTTGCGGCATGAAAACTTGTAGTAGGTCGTTGGTCTTTGAAGCTTGAACGACCTTGTAGCACTCGAGGATGGTCGCTAATCCTACCAGTCAGTTCTTTGACGTGGTAGTACAGTGGGAGTGCAACACACCTCTTGAGCGTGGGATGCCGCTTCGTAGGACTGGGCGAACGGCCTCTAGGACTTGTAACGGAGCTCTGTCGAGTACACATTAGCCTTTGAAGAGATGAAGCAACACGATCGGTAGACCGTACCCTGTACTGGTGTAGAACCGCAAGAACTTCTGCACAACAAGGTCCACCGCAGGCGTGGGTGACGCCTTCAAAAAGTGGACCAGCGACTTGTAAATGTGTGTCTTCTGTTGGTCGTCAAGCAGACGGCGCTGAGCACCCGTCAGCAAAAGTATGCGAGGGTTTGATGAAGAGGGTAGAATACCTGATCGAGATCCTCGCATACAGCTACAGCCGCACCGGAGACCGCGGCATCGGCGTCGCGCACTCGCTTTGATGCAGGTATAGCGAGGTGTTGAAGGATAGAGGCGTCGACACGACCTAGAGCTTTGATGGCGTACAGTGCTTTACGCCGAATGATAGGTCTAGTACACTCAAAATCAGCGTAAGACTTCGGCGATATGGAAGTGCTCGCACGAACGATGAATGCGAGAGAAGCTGGCGCAAGCGAGTTTGAGACGCGATTAGAAGGTCGTGGCTGGGAGCCTGAATGAGATGGTCCAATGCGAGGGATATATGCCCGAGGGAGTCTGATTCGAGGTGCTTCAGCTGAATGAGTCCGCGCTCAGTCAATATAAGGAACATGGACATACCTTTCGAAGCGTATTGACGAGGAGAAGATGAAGCTCATGCTCCGGGGAAAGAAAGGTCGCGCAGAAGAGGTATCCTGAGGCATGCTCGTATGCTTGTGCGTGCTCAATGCAGTAGAGTGCACACCTAAACGCTGAGCACGTATAGTCTTTCCTGCCTCGGCCAAAGTGAGCGCGGGCGGCAAAGCGAAATCCAGTTCTCCGGGGTCCAACACGGAGTTCAGAGCGTCGTGACAGTATAGCAGGACTACGAGGTACTCATAGACCTGTTTCTGAGAGGAGTCCGTTTATGACGCGACACGCTTGGATCTGGCCCATAACGCTCACAGTAGTTGTTGGTCGCGTCAATCGACGCTGTATAGCTCGGATTTCGGACCGCAGATGTTCATCCGCCTCTTCTAGTGTCTGTGAAAGCTCGACCTTTCTGACTAGAGCATAATGACCAGCGCTCAAAGCGCCCGAAGACGCGAAGGGAACATCCATGGACGAAGCTGATCGGCGTCGAGTCCAAGTCGCGTCGCCACGCGCTGCGTCACGCGCCTCGACAGGCGCTACACCGTACACGCGCGCCGTAAACAAGCCTTGCCTCGGAACGGCGACCATGTCCGGGAACACCAGCGCGCACGTCGCCCACTCCTTCAACAAGCTCCTCAACCAGTCCTCAAAGCGCACACCAAAGGAGGCCGAGGAGAGCGTGAAGAAGCTGCGGAGGCTGATCTTGATCGAGGGTATCCCTTCCGGCGCGGTGTGTACATATTGTTTGATGCTTCGAGTTGAGTTGGCGCTGAAATTGATGTGCGTTGGGCAGGACAGTACGATTAGGCATCGGGTGTGGAAGATATTGTTAAGGGTTACGGAGCTGCCGACGGATACCTTTTTGGATTATGTTGCGAGGGGACCTTGTGAGGTGCGGGAGAAGATTCGGAATGATACCTTTAGGTGCATTGGTCATGACAATCTCAGTCTCTACATACACTGACTTTCTATGTAGGACGCTTGCAACGGATAGAGGCTTCAAAGAACGCGTACGGGAAGATATGCTCGTCCGCTTGCTCGACGCGTTCGTATGGAGGAACCACGGTTCGTCTATTGCTCTATTGCTGCCTTTATGCGCGCTCACGGCCCCACAGATCGACAAGAATACAACCAACACAGTTTCACCTACGTGCAAGGCATGAACGTGCTCGCCGCGCCGTTCCTATACACCATGCCCTCCGAACTCGAGGCGTTCTTCTCGTTCGCCAAGTTCATCGAGGAGGTGTGTCCGACGTATGTTCAGCCGACGTTGGAGGGAGTGCATCATGGTCTCAAGGTGCGTTCTATAACATGTCGTCTTGCTCTGTGGCTTACATTCGCCTAGTTGCTTGACCGCTGCTTGAAGATACTGGACCCCGAACTGTACCAGTACCTACGCTCGAAGAACCTCTCAGCCGAGCTCTACGCCTTCCCCTGTAAATCCCGTGCCTGATCTTTATATTACATCTGCTCATGAACTTCTATACACAGCCGTTCTAACTCTCTGCGCCTGCACACCACCCCTCGACCAAGTCCTCCAACTATGGGACTTCCTCCTTGCATTCGGAGTGCACCTCAACGTCCTCTGCGTCATCGCCCAGCTCCTCATGATCCGCGACGAAGTCATGAAGACCTCTTCGTGCGTGCCTCTCCACCATCCCATCACCATTGCCTACGACTGACATGCGTTTATAGCCCGATGCGCCTCCTCCGCACATTCCCGCCGCTCGAAGCGAGCCCCGTCATCGGTATCGCTGTCACGCTCGTCCGTGACTTGCCTACGGAGTTGTACGAGGAGCTCGTGCGGCATCCGTACGAGTTCAAGTCTCAGTAGACGACCTTTCGCTCCGGTTTGGTTTTGGTTTGGTTTGGAGGGGTTCGTGTACGCTATCGATCTATGCTGTCTCGTCGCTGTGGTATTATAATGCTGTCTTATATTCGTACATCTGTCGCTGTATATAACATGCCACCTGCTGGCAACTCCGTTCAATACACACCTGCCCGTGGTTGAGAAGAAGAAAAAGACTGTGTGCAGAACTAGTACAAGCAGACTAAGCATACACCTCAACAACATTCGAAACCCAACAAAAATGCCCACACCCCGCCGCACACGCGTGCCCCACAAGCGCCCTCTTCTCCCCTCCCCCTCCTCCACCCAATCCCAACCCCAATCCCAACCCAACACCACTACCACCCCTCTCATCCCCTCGTAGATCAGGCGTATCAGGCACAGTCGTCCCGCTCAACCTCGACAGCGAGCGCCCTCTATGACCGGGCTCTTCGGGTGGTGGAGGGGATGAAGCGCGTGGGAGTTGATGGGGCGGTTTGAGGGAGTAGTAGTGGCGGTAGCAGGCGCTGTGGCCGCCGTGTGCGCATATTGCGCATGTGAAACCTAGGCTCTTAACTGGTAAGCGGCTGTCATAGATGTTAGTGCACGGACCGGTTGGCATCCATCTTGGGCGCTCACCAGATGGAGCACTTGAGCGTCGGCGCGCGGCATTCGGCGCAGGTGGTGCCGAATTCGAGGGGGATGGCTTTTGAGCATCGGCCGCAGGAGATGTATACCGTGGTCCCAGCCTACAAGGGTACATGAGTGCCGAGATCGACTGTGGGTATGAAAGACTCGATACGAACCTTCGTCGCGTCTTCCACATCAGCGTCGGGCGCATACTGGCGTATATACGCCACAGTCGTATGCAGCCCCAACCTCGCGAGCACCTCTATATCTCATCAGCCTCACATCCCCTCGGCCACAGCAGCAAAAACAACTCACCGAGATACCCCTCAACAAGCCTAACAACCCTCCGCCTCCCCAGCCCCATCTCCGCCCCACACACCAACGCCAACATACACCCCATCTGTACATCGCCCCCCTCGATCAGCCGCTCGAGCGTCTCCCGCAGAACGTCCCAGCATCGCTCCCTCATCCTTTCTCTCCTTCGCTCGACTTCTTCCGATACGTCTGGACTCTCTTCGTGTGCGTTCGTGAGGCCGTCGTCGTCGAGTGTCCGATTATGATGCGACTCAGGGCTGAGCGGTTCCACCCCCTGCCCCGTCCCGCCCGACGCAACTCTCTGCGACCGCACAGACACCGAGCCGTCCGTATCCCTCACACTCGCGCCCGGCCGCGCGGTCCGAACACCGCTCAGCATGCTCCCCACAGGCGACTCCGCGCCGCCCAGGATGGTCTGCAGACTGCTGGCGGACCCGACGCCCTCTCTCGCGAGCGGCGTGAGAGGGATCGCGAGGCTGCTCATCCTGTTTCTGCTCTTCGATTTTGATTGGGACTTTGAGGTGCTCGTGCGATGCGCTTTGCGAGAGCGAGAGCGGACGCGGACGCGTGAGCGCGAGAGGGACTTTCCCGCGCGTCCTCCGCCACCCCTTCCCGCTCCCGCGCCTACACCGGATGATGATGCAGCAACGAGACGAACAGACCCCGCCGGACTCGCGTCATCCTCATCGCTCTCAGACGTACTAGCAGGCGACGGTGTATCACCTTCCTCCTCTCCCTCCTCTTCACCCTCCTCGCCCTCGCCCTCATCTTCCTCGTCGTCGCCGGCCCACCGATGTTGACTCTGACTCTGCCCAGCGATCCTGGATAGTGGAGAGGGGCTAGGCTGGCTAGCCATCGACGCGCTCCGTCCGAAGAGCGGGCTTGTAGGCGAGATCATCCTTCTCTTCCCACCACCGCCTCCTCCTGAGCCTGAACGTTCATCGCCTGCAGCACTGCTCCCGGCCCTCTCAGACCGCTCATCCTCGATATCGGCGCTCCCCTCTCCTTCGGAGTCTGAATCGTCCAACGCGCCTTCGCCGACGTGTTTCAAACTCCCACCCCCACTCCCACTCGCAACAGACGGTGTAACGCTCGGCCTACTTAGGCTCGACAGTGCTCTTGGACGATTAGGCCCGAAGACGGATGGTCGACGTGTTAGCGGGAACGGCATCTGTCCTTGTCCTGGTCCCCGCGAAGGAGCTGCCGATAAGGAGCTGAAGTTGGACGAGGGCGATGGGGAGATCGCGAGTGACGAGAGCGGTGTGGATGAGCGTTGAGGTGAGCTCGACGTGCTCGCCAGCGCCGATACCGAAGCTGAAGACGAGGGGCCGGGTGTAGACGGCACTTCCGAATAAGAGTTCAAGGTCGTCGCGCGGCGCGAGGGGTACGTCGTTGGAGAGGAGATGTCGTTTACGGTCGGGATAGCCGCGGGCGCGGAGTGCGAGTGCGGGAGCGTGGGCGATGTTAGGGATGTGGGGAGCGCTGAGAGCGGTGGCTCGTCCGGTACAGGGTCTGCTGGGGGTGGTAGAGGGTCGAACTGCGATTGGGCGAAGGCCCATATTTGGGCTGCGTCGAGTTCGCCAACTTCGGATGCGACCTTTAGAGTCGAATCAGTGTCCATTCTAGGGCGTGGGAAGGAAAAGCATGGGACGAACTCGGGCGTTGTGTCCGCAGATAGCGTGCTTGTCCGCCCCGTCGAAGATGTAGCTCTTCGCTAACCGCTCGAAGACGGCTATACGCTCTGGGTGCGAGTCCAGCCCCACAGACCCCAAGCCCTGATGAGCAGGTTTATACACGGCGTCGCCCAATGCCTTCGTGCGCAGACCGCGTTCGAGCCGGTTCTGGGCCGTAGCGGGGTCCCTGTAAACAACACATGCGTCAGCAATAGAAGAGAGTTGGAGGGAACGGGCAACACACAAGTCATCGTATGGAGGCTCAAAGTAAGGCGAATCGTCCGCGACGAAAGTCAGAGTCCCAGCGGCATCCCATGAAGCCGATGACCGCGGTACACCGTCGATCGGCCTATACGCATGGCGCAGGTCCAACTGCGAGAACGCGCCGGACGTATGTTGAGCCCAAAGCGCGTGTGAGTCGCGGAATGCAATATCTGCCCAACAAAATAGAAAGACAATCAGCTGCCATAGAGCTAGAGAGGGCAAGGAGTAAGACTGACCGGTAACGCCCCCCTCAATCGTCGACCCCGGCAAAACCCACTTGGCCAACCACCCCCTCCTCACATCCCAAATCTCAACCGGATCCGACCCAAACCCGCTCTCCGCCGCTCTCCGCTCCTCCCTCCCCGCCGTAATCTCGATCTCAGGACTGCTCGAGATAGCCCCTCCTCCTCCTCCTCCAACACCAACGCCAACATCGGGCGTAACCGTCCCACCCGTCTCACTAGCGCCACTGTCCCTTTCCTGGCCCAGCCCTCCGAACCCGGCATTAGACACGAGCGCAAGCTCGCACTCGTATCCCGGTCTCCATCTTGCATGCCGCACGGGGTACGGCGCGGACAGCGTATAACTCGGTGTACTAGACATATGCGCCGTATGCCCAGCCGAGTTCAGATCCCAGACTTTGACCGTCCTGTCCATGCCCGCGCTGGCGATCCAGCCTGTGCCGCTGGCGTTGTTTGTGCCGCCGAGGTCGGTCGATGTGAGGGTGTCTTGGCGCTGGAGACCTTGGTGGGATGGGCCGTCGGAGGAGGAAGAGCTGGAGCACCAATCGAGGGAGAGGACGGCGCCGGAGTGGGCTACTGTTATGCGGTCCAGCTGGCCTTTGTGGCCCATCTTGAGGTCCCATCTGAGGTCGTATGAGCAATGGTTATAGTGGGTAGATCAGAGGGCGAGCGTACCTGTAGATGCTGCCATTGTCGAGTCCAACGATCGCTTGAAGAGGGTTTGTGGTACTTGGCGAGAACGCGGCAGCGCGAACGGCTTGAACATGGTGTATCCGGATGAGTGATTTGTCGAAGGTGCGAATGTCCCAGATGCGGAGGTCGCCGTCGGATGAGCCTGTGAGGCAGTAGTAGGGTACGACTGGCGATAGGGCGAGACGGTTGATTGAGCGGAAGTGGTCACGGGCGCGCTTCTCTAGACACGTATGAGTATGATAGTCTATAAAGCTGAAGAATGTTGGGCGCACCGTACTTGGAGACACCGAGCTTGTTGAGATCCCACATGAGCAAGTCGCCATTGCGCGCGCTCGTGAGCACCTTGTGGTCAAAGTCTGCAGACGACAGTCAAGACTAGGATAAAGTAGTAAGAGCTGTAGACGTACTTCCGCGACCCCATACAGCGTCCGTCGTGACGCTCTCGACCTTGAAGCCCGCCGCCGCCCAATAGTTGCGCGAGGCGTCGATACGATGCCCACCGCGCCCAACGGCGGACCTATGGTCGGGCGTGAGAGAATGAGGGGTATCCGACACACGCAGGATGCGGAGGGCTGTACACAGCAGACGCGTTCATCGTCGTATCTCGCCAGTAGCGCCGGAAGGGCACGCACAGGACTTGCCCGCGACGACGCATCGCACGCCGTCCTCGCTCTTTGCAATCACTCCTCCGCCGGGCGTAGACGCACGCGATAGCCTGACCGAGCGTGTTGGTCCTTGGTATCCGTGTTCGCGCGAGTCGAAGTAAGGAAGAGCGCGGGATGAGGGACTTGGAGAATGCGAGTCCGCGGGGATCTTAAGCGATGGGCGCCGCGAGCGCGGCATCGGCGGCGTGGAGAGCGACATCTGGTTCAACTATGCGATCTCTAGTCACGAGTGAAGGAGGGTTTCGCCGCGCAACTGAGCATCTGCCGATGTCTACAGCTCAGGTTCAGAACCGGAGCTTCGTGGTCGGAGATTGAGTAAAGCGCGAGAGGCCTCGCGCCGCTCGTCCCAACCTTAACCCTAGCGGGGCCACAAACACCGCGGCTCATTGCACTAGCTCCGTTCAGAGTTGAGTTGCGCGGCGTGCAAACCGCTGTGCAAACTGGCCGTGCAAACTCTCGTGCAAATGCGTGACGAGGGTCAGCGTGACGCCCCCTGACGCCCCGCCTCGGTCTTTGTCGCCGTCGCTGATGACGACGACGTTCGGGTGCCCTCCTGCTTGCCCTCACAAGCAGAGTAATGGCACGACGATTGGCATGATGACGAGGAACAGGGCTCTCCAGGGTGAGCATTCATAGGGTTTCCGGGACCGGGGCTATCCGAGGTTCTAATCGCCCTCGACATGGGTATTGCAGAGGCGTAGTACCGCCGCTGCCAGCCTACTTGTCTGAGTTCCCGTATGGTACGCATACTATGCGGCTAGGTTAGCACCTGATGACTCGGTTTTCCATTGAATAATTGGGGTATCATATAAAAGATAATAATAATTGTCATTGTTCGGTACGAATCGGGAGAATCCCTCAGGAAGTACACGTGCTAGTACATGCGAGGAGAGTAAGGTAAGCACACAATCGTATCGTGAGTACGCATAATGCATGGCATCCTACATTGTATGGTCTCGGGACGTCGTCGTCGTCGGTGGCAGCGGCGGCGGCAAAGGCGGCCGAGGCGCGGCGTCACGCTGTTCCTCGTCACACATTTGCACGAGAGTTTGCACGGCCAGTTTGCACAGCGGTTTGCACGCCGCGCAACTCAACTCTGAACGGAGCTACTTGAGTCTTGCTCAGGACCATCATCATGATGAGCACCAGTTACTCCATGATGGAACTTGCCAAACGCCATCCGCACTTGCTTGTCTTACGAAGCTCTGGAGAGCGTCAGCGATCCTAGTATACCCCGGATCCGTCGCTACGTATACGATGGAGACAGTAGTAGTCGTCGGAGTCGCTTCTTGCATGTGCACTTATCCTCGCTCTCCAACGGATGGGTATTACCGATACGCAAAGGGCTTGACGACTACTCCCTACGTCCAATCCTTTCTAGATACTCTCATGGGATGCGCGGTATATATATCATCGGTTACAAGTTGAACCATCGAGGAGGCTGACCGCCGGATGACACATAAATAGGCAAGGACACATAAACGCTATAAATAATAGAGAAGAACGAGAGGCTTATGGGAAACGAAAAGATATACAAGACATGATCACGGTACAGATATAATTCCAACACAGTCTCCTCAAACCCAGTCGGAAACCGTCACCTCCCCGGACTCGGACTCGGAATGCTTGGCTTCGTTGATCGCAGGTCTGTTGTCGTCCTTACTGTGAGGAGGTACGATCGGCTGCGCGGGTTTCGAACCCTCAGGCTGTGCAGCTGCAGTGCTGCGTTCGACGTCAACCTCGAAAGTGACAGTGACGGCGTAGTCCCTCTCCCTAGTCTGCACGTTGTCCCCATACAAAGTCTGAGCTCCTCGTGAGTGATGTAGTTTATCGAGGGCGACAAGAATGAGGACCGCCAACGGATAGATGGTCTATGTTCATGGGCGAAGAGTGGTTGAAAATGCTGCATCATCTAAAAGAGGAGGGTGCGTACAGTGATTTGAGCCATAGCAGCATCCAGGTGGGAAACGGCAGTGATTATGCTGGCACCAGGGCTGAAATAAGAGTTGTCGTCGGCGTCGAAGACGAACCGGTCAATTGTCCGGAAGAAGCTGACGCAATATATGAGCTAGTGTAAATGTTCAATTAATCGGTAACGCCAATGGAATAGAGTGATCACCCATATGGCGGTGTAGACCACACCGGACTCTACGAGAAGCACCATGACGCGTTCTACCAGCGTGCGACGATGACCGGCAGAGCGGAGGTGAAGCGAGACCTGCCTCCTATATAACCTCGAAGGATTTGAGCCAGTTCCGTAACAGTGACAGAGGACATCGTAACGAACCAGGCTTTGGTCGCCACTAAGACGGTGGCGAGAAGATTACTCGCCAAAGACAAGAACATCGCGGCGAGACCGACATAGTTTTTGCCGTATATTGATATGGTCTCTGAGGCGTTGAGGTTCGTTTGAACTTCCTCCCTGGCGTCATCGAGTAATCTGCTAGTTCTTAAAACGATATTTGCTATGTTGAGTGCCAACGTCGTGCCCAGGAATACTCCACTTAGGGCGATGGCCGGGCGTGTTCTGTCCCACACAACGCACATGCGCCACATCACGACGGCGTCACTCAGGACCACCTGCGATACGAGTGAGCACCCGCTTTCGAGGATGTAGACCGAGCACGTACATTGAGCGAAAATAGTGTCAAGAGAGCCACGTAGAGTTTCCAGATGATCAATGGAGTCAAGTCTTCGAGTTGGATGAGGTACGTTGTTTCCAGGACGTAGAACCGGATAGAGATGACCCAATGGATTAAGGACTGGACATACATCACCGTTGCTGTGGCGGGTATGATCAGTTGAAAGTACGAGCGCCATTGAGATCGCATTGGCCTACGAATACGTTGTTGAGTTCAGACTTATTTTCTACCAACTGTGACGCACCAAAAACATGTATACACTGATGTCAGGAACAGAATTGTGACGAAACCTTAGGTTTTTCAGCATTCCTGCGGGATGACACTACCAGTCATAGCCGGATACTTACCAAACAATGTGGTTTCTGTCACAAGAGGCAGAAAAACCCGCCAAGCGTTGATGTAATCATAGGGGTAAAACCAGTCGAGACTCGACCTGCTGAACGCAAATCTCAGAGACCTGTACGGAAGAAGTGGTAAGACATCAGCTCAAGGCTCATCAAGATACAACATACCGGTTTGTAATAGCCGATTCAAACTGGTGTAGTGAAAGCGCCCAGTGTACGAGACTCATGACAAGCAGGCCCCAGAGTATCGACTTGGAAGGCACACGCGGGAAGCAGTGCGGCCTGAGCCTAGAGATGACTATCAGCCCTTCTTTCTGAAGCTGCATCACAGGAGTCATACCAGAGCAGGAATGATGCAAGAGAGACACAAGCTATTATGGAGCCTAATCGACGCCTGGTCAAGAGCCTTACATCACCCATGTGGAATTTGACATACCCATTGTGAAGCTCTCCAGTAGTAGCATCGGTGCGGCAGTCGTCGCTATTGACTCAAAGTGAGCGCGTATAACATCATACTGTTGAGTATCGTTCAGGCTGTTGGAAAGAGACATGAGTACAGGGCGAGGGAAGTTTGAAGGGGCGACTGTCTAGGTTACCAAATCCGACGACGGTCTTCATATAGGTTTTTTCCACTTGACAACGCTAGCCCAACAAAAGCGCGGTCAGTGGAAGGTTTAAACAATAGAGAGAGCATTACCAATTGTACCTAAGTTCCAAAGATTGGAAGTCATGTTGCCTTAGAGCACATCGGACTCTAGCTACGTGAAGGGCACAACATGATATGATCGCTCAAATACCAATTTTGCCCTCGCCATAGGCCTGAGTATGGCATACTCGTAACCCTGACGGTAGGCGCGGTGGGAGTCGACCATGCGATGCCACATGTGCTTTCGAAGGCGAGCGGTGACTGTCAGATAACATTCGTATCCCTCCATCTTGATTGAATCCTCTTCCGGACACAGAAGAGGGTAAGGCGGATCCGGACGAGAACAAAGCTTTCACGTTCCGCGAGTGTATCGCCCTCGACACAGGAACTGATGAAGCCATGACGCTTCCGTTTGTGCGAGCGAGTTGGCCGCGTCCAGTCCCAGCCACCCCGTAGCGGTCATCAGAACGCGGGTGGTGAGCAATATCGCTGATCTGTGTAGCGCGCATCTATAGTATGATATTCTGAGCACATCGATTGCAATTTCATATGCAAAGTACGTATCGTGAAGAGCCAGCACGAGTGATATCGCGCTCCTGTATCTCTTTCCAATCGACGCCCATGCCCATCATACACCTAGGGCGAATCCTGGAGGCATCCCCCCTGACACCTGACAAGAGCACGTATCGAATGAGGTGCACCGCCCGGGTTACACGGTGCCTCACTCGGGTAACATGTATGCCACTTCTACAACCAGTTTTCACACCAAGTTGTGCCATTGTTCGAATGCTCGTACGTTCCATGCGGAGAGCCCCATCATTGCCCCTTCATTCGGGATAGACGCCATGAGCCATGTGAAATGTTGCAAGTAACCAGCATGCGCAGATGTGTGATCTAGTAACTTCAACTCGATAGATGATCATGACGGTTCAGAACAAGACGCGTGGGGGCACGACGCGTCGACGCGAGGGCGCACGCTTGTGGACGCTTATGGACGCGTCGTTACGATGGCCTTTGGGACCAGTCGCCAGGGAGGGGTGCGGGTAGTGAGTACTGTCGAAGACAGTCGCAATCGTATATGGCATACATATATCTAAAGATAGCTGAGAGAATGCAAGGTGGTATGGTACAGTGTTTGTCCGATAAGATAAGATCGTCCGCCGCAACACAGCTCTCGAGTACTATGCCGTCTATACAACTTCTTCCCCGGGAACCCTCTCATCCCCCAAGACCCAGCCCCCATCGTACTCATCCCATCCGACGTAGACGACCCACTAGTCTCCCACGAAAGGCCTCTCATTCGTCGACGTCCAAGCCAACACCGAAGTTGCCCATCCCTCGGCGTCTCATCACTCTCAGCCGCCTGAGTCTCCCGCGACATCGGGAGATACGCGAGCGGGAATACCGAACCTCACCACAAATGGGCGCGTGCTCGTACGTTTGATGGTGGAAGGTACGAGGGCGTTAGACGCGGTCAGTTGAAAGGGTGTCGTTGGTGAATAAAGAGGTTGGGTCTGGTGGTGCCCGAGGCGGTCGGGAGGCGGTGCAGGCGTTGGCTTGCAATATTCGGGTTGGCTCCCATGGGTAGCGGTGCGGGGGGTAGTAGACGCGCTGTAAAGTCCGGGCTACACAGATCAGGTTGGGAGGTAGGTATGCCGAGCTCGTTTAGCGGAGAAGTCTCAGGCGACTGTCCTATCCGGGTCAGCACTCACGAAGCAAGAAGAGAGTTAATATACGCACCGGAGACTCGACTTGCATGGCACGGGCGTGAGAGACGTCGGCGTATCCAAAACGCGCAACATTCGGAGGGCTATGTACAGCAGACGCGTCATCGTCATATATTGCCCGAAACGTTCGCGGAAGGGCACGCACAGGACTTGCCCGCGACGACGCACCATAGGCCGTCGATTTCTCCTCCAGCAGGTGTAGACGCGGGCGAGAGCTTGACCGAGCGCGTCGGTTGGTACCCATGTTCGCACGAATCTGAGGAGCAGAGCGTTTTAGGATGGGCTCGGTGAGTGCGGGCCCGCCGGGATCTTTAACGACGGACGCCGCGAACTCGGCATGGGCGGCGTGGACAGCGATATACTTGGCGATGTTCGCCAAGTAGTGTAGGCGGAGACGTCTTATGTAGTAGCAATTTGTACGTCTGTCGTCACGTATAGGCTAATCCTGGTGTTGGAGCTAGAACATCATGGTCAGAGAGAAGCGCCGAGTCACAGATTCCGCTCACTGCGTTCAACCCAACCCTAACGCGAATCTGCCGCGCACGCGTACCAGGCAGATGGAATCCTGGTTGCCCAGAACCATCACAAGCAGTACAGCATCAAATATTCGCCATGAGCATATCTTGCTCACAACTATACAACAATTGACGATAACCGTATTTACGTACATGAAGGCGCGCAGTTGACGAAACGCGATCCCCGAACCTCATAGAAAATAATTCACGAAATCAAGTCAAGACGAGAGACGACGGAGTTGAAAGCATCACATCGGACGACGCAAGATAAACAAAGGGTCAGGTGGTGAAGAATGGTAGGGTGTGGTATAGTGCTTAGGTCAAAAAGATTGCAGGGGGTCCAGAGATATTGCAGACTGAGCAGTGAGCTTCGCTTCGTCCATCTCCGAACTCTCTCTAATCTGCGAGGCATCCATCTCCGAAGTTTCTGGGTCGACACGATCAATTTCCTGAGCCCATAGCTGAGGTGTCTTTATGTGGCGTAAGGATTCCGGGCCGCGATCGTGATGAATCTTGTTGAGTGCGACCAGAATGAAGATCATGAGTGGATAGATAGACTGAAAGTAGCGTGAGACATGGTCGGATGCACTCTCAGAAGACAGTGGGAGGTTCACATACAGTAATCTGTGCCATAGCTGCGTCGAGATGGCTCTCGGCGGTGACGAACAGGGCGTCGCTGGTATCTGTTTGAGAACCGGCCAGAGTGCCTTGTACTGTAATTCTCTGATAGAAGCTAACACAATACAAGATCTAGAGTGGGATAATATGAGTCACGAAAGCGTCAAATCACGATCTCGACTTACCCATATAAGAGAATAGATTGCTCCGGACTCTACGAGGAGCTCCATGAAGCGTTGTGTCCGTGTGCGAGGCGCGTTCTCGAAATACCTGAACCGTCTTCTGTGTATCCTATACCAGGTTTAGCCGTAATCCGTCCATATGCGTTTCAAAAACAGACCCAGCCTTGACTCCGACGAGGATTGTGGCGCAAAGATTGCTGCCTAAGGATATGAAAGCCGCTGCAAGACCGATCGCGGTCGACCCATACGTCGCAATGAACTCTGAGTCACTCGAGTTTCCATTGACAGCTTTCACAGTGTCGAAGTCGATTTGTTCATGTGCGTTTATGCCCACGTTTGCTACATTCAGCCCCAGAATCACGACAGATAACGTGAGGCCAAATGCTATGACGGGACGTCTTTTCTCCCACACGGCACACAAGCGCCAAAGTACTATGGTGTCGCTCAGAACTGCCTGAACAGCCGGTCAAAAAGGGAAATCATCATGTGATTTCATGCTTACATTCAATGAAAATGCTGCCGAAAGGGCGATGTTGAGGTAAACCGGATTGAACGGCGGTGTTGACGGTGAGAAGAGTCTAGTATCTGGAGCGGCCTCCGCTGCCCTCAGGTTGAAGGACTCGAGCATGATGATCCAGTGCCCTAGCGAGAGGCAATACATGCACGATGCCATGATGGGGACGACGAGCACAATGCACGATCTCCTGGTGGAGACTGGGTTGATAGGCCTCAGGCGGAGACGTCAGCATAATCAGGAAAACAAATAAGTGTAAAGCAGACTCACCGGAAAGTGGTGTAGGCCACAACTACGAACAGGGAGGTAGAGACGCCTGCCCGTGATCAGTGTGAGATACGAGTACGCTGTGCTGGTGCACGCACCAAAAAGCACAGTCTCCGTCAAGAGGATTAGCAAGTATTGCCATGCTTCTCCATACGATGCATAAGATTCTATGAGCGTATCTTCTCCAGAAATAACCCAAGCAGAGGTAACTCTCCATTCGAGCAGGGCTTCCAGAGTCAAGGAGATTCCAAGTGGTCTTTAAAGTCGTAACTTCAGGCAGTCTTCCTCCATGAGTGGCACAAACACGCACCGGCCAGCGAGAGTAGATTCGAGCTGCTTTAGCGAGAGTGCCCAGCGCACAGTAATCAATGTCATGAATATCCAGAGGGTGGAGATGTAAGGCACGCGCGAGAACGATGGCGACTTAATCCTGTATTTTCTTCGTCAATACCTACTTCATCTAGATGTCTGAGACTTCGTACCATAATAGATACGACGCAATGGGAACGCATGCGAACAAAGCGCCTGAAGACTTCCGTTCAGCGGGTTCCATCACAGAGAAACCGGCTCCCGCACCTATCGTGAAGCTTTCCAGCAGTAATGATGGTACAACAGATGACACAACAGACTTATAGAGAGTGATCAGAATCGTAGCATCCAGGGTGGCATTGAAGTCGCTGGTGGACGGGGGCTTATAGTACCATGGAAGCGAATCGTCCCCAGACATGGTATTGACGCCTGGCAGAGGTAGCTGACAACCTGTTCATATAACGTAGCACGGCTGTTCCATACCTCCGACATCCGTTCAACTTTAGGTCACCTTACTTACTTTGGAGGAAGTGCAGTTAAGACTGATTATTCGTTACCACTTACTTTTGTTTCTGATAGCTTCTCAACAAGAGCCAGACACAGCCGCGATTCCACATGCCAAAGTAGCTGCTTACACGCGCTTTGGCGGGTGTCGCGAGGGTACGGGCCTGGGGGTTGTGATGCCCCACCACAGCTCATGAGTGTCAACTGGCCGCGGGGATACTTAGGACCTTCGTAGTTTAACAACCTTAGGGACTGAATGTTAGGTACATCGTTTCTACTAAAATATAACGCAGCATGCACCATTTGAAAGCACGCCTTAGTCCTCTCGGAGAAGTTCAATCATCGTGTCAGTACGTTCGTGCATTCGTACCCAGGTATCGCGGACCGGATACGTAGGAGCGTTTGTAGCGATGTGCATCGGCGCATCTCTGCACTGATCGCATGGACTACTATGAAACGTGATGTCGGGCACGCATGGGTGAACTCTGATTTTCACGGACACAGGATCATGACGGTTGAGAGCAAGACGTGTCGTGCACGGCGCGACGCGTCAACGCCGAGGTGTGGGCGTTGATGGACACGCGTGGACTCGCGGCGGCGTTGAGTCTGGGCCAGTGCCAGTGGCGTGGGAGACGATTCGGGCGGCAGACAGTGCCGTAGAAGATAACTAATATCGACATCTTACGACTTTTACATAGATATATAGATATAGATAGCTGAGAGGCCAAAAGTCGTGATATAGTACAGTGCATGTCCGATAAGATAAGATAAGATCGTCCTCCACACCACCTCTCTCAAGTATGCCTCCTAAACAACTTCTTCCCCGGAAACCCTCTCAGCCCTAAAAATCCCAGCCCCGTCGTACTCATCGCATCCGAAGTCGATGACCCAATAGTCTCCACCTTCACACTGAACGGCCTCTGACCCCCCGGCAACACAGCCTGCCCGTCCCTCGGCGTCTCCTCGCTCTCAGCCGTCTGCGTCTCCGGCGACATCGGCGCAATCGGCGAGCGCGGGTACTGCACTTGATCGGGCACCGGCGCGTACTCGTATGTTTGATGTCGGGAGGGGCGCGGCCGGTAGCGGTCAGTTGAAAGTGTGTCGTTGGTGATTGAAGAGGCTGGGTCTGATTGTGCCCGGGGCGGTTAGGATGCGGTGGAGGCGTTGGCGGGCGGAGGGTAGTGAGGGCTCACATGTAGTCTCGCGCGCTTGTTGCGGCGCGCGGGGCTTGAGCTCGTCTTGCATGGGCGGTGGTGGTTGGGCGGGTAGTGGGCGTGCTGCGAAGTCCGGGCTGAGCAGGTCAGGATGAGAGATGGGTGTGACAGGCTCGTATTGTGGGGAGGTCTCGGGTGACTGCCCCATGCAAGTCAGGATTCACGAAGCGAAGCGAGAGTGAGCATACACACCGGAGATTCGACTTGAATAGGTATCATATAGCCACTCGACTGCCCACGATTGAAGTTCGGCCGCGTGGCCGAAGGAGGAGGTGGAGGGGACGCCGACGAAGAAGATGGAGTGCTCGTTGGTGAGTGCTCCCTCTTCGGTTGTGTACCGCGCTGGACCTCCTCCATGACCATGCCCATGGACTGCTGCTGAGGCTGTCTGCGGAAGATCGAACGTTTCTACCAGTCATCATCAGTATAAGGGCATGCGCGACCACGGAGCATAACGAAGCTTACAAGTGATCTCGACCCTGGACGACCCTGCGGGTCCGGGTTTCTGACTTGAAGCATAGGTTGTTGCGCAGACCCCGGTCGCGTAGACGGCGCTCTTGGATCGCGAAGTAGATCATAATCCGACGAGATAGCCGACGCGCTCGGTGCATGATGACTATACGGCCCAAGCAAACCCGACTTAACCTGAGGCCCCGGTACAGGAGTCGGAATAGGCTTGCGCGGAACAGGGTGCACCGGCGTCGGTACAGCGTAGATGGTAGGCGGCGGAGGATTGTACGCCTCCGGCGAGCGCGGAACAGGAGGTGCGGAGTTCGGTCGCGACATCGAGAGGCGCGGGGGAGGCTGCTTCGGAGGTGCGGTCGGTGGACGCGGAGGCGCTTCCGCGGGTATGACTGGCACTGAGAGCCCCGACACGCCGCTTTCGGGCGACTGGACGACGTGGAAGTTCTCCGGGCGCCGAGGGGTTTCTGCGCGCGCCATCTCGTGCGGCGTAGGGAGATAGATTGACATACGCCCGGTGCCGGGTTCTTCGTGAGCGCGGGGAATGAGATCGTTGGATACGTCGGAGCCAGGGCCGCGTGAGGAAGGCGCGTAAATATTTGTAACATTAGAGAGGACGCGTCCGCGAGGTTTGGTGGTCGTCTTCGGTTGCGGCTAGTGTTACATGAAGTATCAGTATGCAGCGGTCATGACTACCAATGAATAACGTACGTCTTGTTTGGCTTCTGCTGGACCACGCGACCCAGATCGCGATTGCCTCTTCAAGCTGAGTCGTGACATACGTCGTTGACGAGGTGCTTCCTGGGGTTGAGGCTGAGGTTGGGAATGAAGCACAGGAGGAGGAGGCATGACACCGCGCTGTTCACGCGAGGGGGTTGCACGAGCAGGTGTAGTCACCTGAGGAGGGACTACAAAGCCTGCGCCGCGCTCTGCTTCATGTTTGCGCTGCCTCACGCTAATCGTACATTAGCAGTGCATCTCTAGAGCTGATCGAGATGAACTCACTCAATGGACTCGCTGGTAGTGTAACTGCTGCTGAGAGGGCTACTTCCAGAAGGAATCGAGTCTTCGTCTTCAGTGAACGGCGAGCCAAATGGTAGGTTCTCGATCGGCGGTGGTGGCGGTCCTGTCTGAGCACGAGGAACCGGCGTTGGCATCGGCGCCGGCATGGGTGCACGTACACTTGCAGTGCGACTCGAACTTCTCCGTGCGGGCGTTGCCGAGCGTTCGCGAACAGTGACAGGCGACCTGCGCTCGATGAGGACCTCATCAACAGAGTCGTCGACGGACATCGCCCTCCGCCTCCCACGCGACGCGCCCTCGCTGTCCATCCTGCTGCGAACCCTGATAGCGGCTCTGAATCCTTCATTCCGCCCCTGTTCCCGCGCCCTGATAACCTGCAACTCCTCGCGCAACTGATGCGCAACCGTCCGCGCGTCTGCAGCATCCTGCTCAGCGCGCTCGAGCCTCCTTGTAAGGTCGTCAATGTTGATTTGCGCTTTGCGCGTAACCTCCTGCTGGGCGCTAAGCTGGACCTTATACATCCCCAATTCCTCCCGCGTGACGGAATGGTCGGACCGCTCCCGCTCGAGGTCTCGCTGCACATCGCGGAGCGAAGCGGCGATCATGGTAGCCTGACGCTGAGCGTTATCCGCACGAGAGCACTCTTGAGAATGCTGGTCCGCGAGATCTTCCACCGCTCTCTGCAGTTGCCGGACCGAGCGGGACTTCTGGGAGAGTAACTTGAAGAGCGCAGGGCCGTCGACGACACTATTATATCACTTTAGTCAGTACCGCCGCAATTTCCGAGTGCAATGAGGCGTATGCCCACACTGAGGGTGGCCGGAGTATGTCAGCGTCCAGCGAGGAGCCGCCCAGGGAGTACGTCGCGGCATCGTCAAAGTCGTTAGTCGTCACTGCGTGCCTTCCCATGATAGAGCCAGGCAGTCAAGTACGCTTTAGGCTCGGGCGACGCAGATCAAAATGCGAGCGACGCCCACACAAGGAGAGATGGGGAGACAAAGCAAGCTGTACTGCCGCTGCAGGGTGCGGTCGAGCCCGCGTTAGGCGCGAGGCAAGGGCGAGCTCTACGTGCATCATCGCATGTCGGACTATCGAACGGAACACGTGTGCGGGGAAGAAGAAGAAGCGTCGGACTACAGGGCCTGGAGGCGATCATCGATTCATCGTGAGCAAAGGCTGGCAGGGCGGCGGGGGAGATGGGCACTCGTGTCTACCATTGGAAGGTAGAAGCGCAGATTCTATGATGCGCCACGGGCCTCGCAGGAAGAACGAGGCGGGAGTACTCTCAACGGCTGCCGATGCGAGAGAATATTTTTGAAAGATCCGGTAGAGGGCGCCTACTGGCCCGGTGCAGTCTAACGGAGTTTGAGCTCGACGGGTGGTGGATGCTCGGAAGAGAGCGTCTGAGGCCGACTCGAGACTTGGTCGAATGGCGCCCGCATGGGTGAATCCACGTGTGATGGCTAGCGCCGGTGTGGTCTGCCGGGCCGCCGAAGGTTGCTTTGAGCTACATATCAGCTTACGATCCTAGGATCGGACTCGCTGCAAACCGTCTTGGGACACGCGTCGGCGACGACATATAACCACTTCTTGGAAAGACACTTGGAGCGAGCGTGCGTATATCAGACTGCGGGAAGGTGCGGGACCCGGGTGCTTATCTGTGTGGGCGCCGCTTATCGCGCACGAACGGTGGTGTATTTACTATTCAGGCATGTCGCACGGCTCGTATTCTTCTTACTCGCAGTCCGTCATGACGGAGGACGAGGAGGACTGGGAGGACTACTGCAAGGGCGGCTACCACCCCGTCCACATCGGCGACACCTTCTCCGACGGCAGGTACACCGTGGTCAGGAAACTCGGCTGGGGCCATTTCTCGACCGTATGGCTGGCCAAAGATTCAAAGTGAGTATTTGATTTGATTTGGATGTCTATTTAAGCTCATCATCGCGAGCGCAGGCTGAACCGGCACGTCGCGCTGAAGATCGTAAAGTCCGCGCCACGGTACACCGAGACGGCGCTGGACGAGATCAAGCTCCTCCAGCGGCTGATCACGTCCTCCACGCCTCCCGTCCAGCCCTCGCCAGAAAACCCGCATCCGCCAGCCTCCCCCGCGCAGACGCACCCCGGCCGATCCCATGTCATCTCCTTTCTCGACCACTTTCGCCACAAAGGCCCCAACGGCACCCACGTCTGCATGGTCTTCGAGGTCCTCGGCGAGAACCTGCTCGGGCTCATCAAGCGCCACCAGCGAAAGGGCGTCCCTCCCCATCTCGTCAAGCAGATCGCAAAACAGGTCCTCCTGGGTCTCGATTACATGCATCGATGCTGCGGCGTCATTCACACCGGTACGGCACTCCCCATGCGCTCTGATCTCTCATGCTCACGCGCATGCTCACGCGCATGCTAGACTTGAAGCCGGAGAATGTGCTCATCTGCATCGATGATGTCGAGTCCATCATCCAGGCCGAACTCGCAGCGTCTGCAAGCGCAACCACACCACCCACCAAACTTGTCGGCGTGCCGCCGTCACGCGGGCGCGGCGGCAACCAGACGCCTCGCTCAGAATCCGTATTCATCACAGGCTCACAGCCGCTACCGTCACCCTCATCATCCTACGGCCAATCACCGATGCTGGACAAGTGGGCGTTCGGCATGAGCAAGATCGATCCGAACGACGCCAGCAAGCCCGGCTCGCTCAAAGCTACCGGCAGCGGCGCAGAGTCTTCTGAGGAGGGGCGTCGGGCGCTGTCTGAGGAGATGAATCAGACGTCGGAGCGTATATCGCAGTTACAGTTCGATATGAATGGACAACCGCAACAGCAGCGCTCGGCGGCTGGCCCGTCTCTGCTCACTCAACAAGCGCCGGATCACCCTTCTACGCTATCCAATTCGCCCAAGGACTTGTCGCCTGAGAAGTTCCCTATCACCAACGACGGCCCTTCGCTGACTGCAACGGCCGCAACAACGCCTGACATACCCGTTATGGACGGCACTGAGCGTATAACGGTGAAGATCGCTGATCTGGGCAACGGTACGGATTTTAGACTCGCTGATTCATCTGAACGCTTCTGACGCTCGAGCAGCAACGTGGGTGGAGCACCACTTTACGGACGACATCCAGACGCGACAATACCGCTGTCCGGAAGTCCTATTGGGCGCACGATGGGGTCCAAGCGCGGACATTTGGAGTGTGGCTTGCGTGGTATGCGTTTGCGCGACTCAAGAAGCTTCAACAGCATGCTGAGTACACGCGCAGATGTTTGAGCTTCTCGCTGGTGGCGACTATCTCTTCGACCCGCAGGCAGGCTCGCGGTACACGAAGGACGAGGACCACATAGCGCAAATAATCGAGCTGATGGGCGAGCTACCGCATACGCTTGCGTTCTCGGGCAAGTACAGCTCGCGCTTCTTCAACCGCAAAGGTCGGTTCGCTTCCTACTCCTTACTCGGATCTGAAACCCTGTGCTGATACCTCCAGCAGGCGAACTGCGACATATCAGCAAGCTCCGCTTCTGGCCGCTCGAAGACGTGCTTCACGACAAATATGAGTTCTCACGCGACACCGCGAACACCATCGCGAGCTTCCTGAACCCCATGCTCCGCTTACACCCGGAGAAACGCGCAGGCGCGAGCGAGCTGATACATCACCGCTGGCTCGACGGCGTCGTGGTCCAAGGCGAGATCGACGTCCTCAAACGCGCAGAAGAGGCCGATCGCCGTGCGCGCGCGTCTGAGCCGGGCGAGCCGCAGTTCCCCTCGGGCGAACCGGATAATGACGCTCTCAAACCCGTGGATGACACGCCCGCGACGGACGACGAGCGCGCCGCGTCCACGGCGCCAAAGCTTGGGATGCCGAAGCCTTCTTCGAGCGCGGCGAAGGAGAACGCGGCGAAGAAGGCGAGCTGAAGACGTCGTGTATCAACTCTTGTACGTGTACGTGTTACATGTGCCGCGAGGGGGTGGCGCGCGTTCTGTATAGCTGATCCTTTCCCCTTCTTGAAGTACTTTTCCGGCCCTCACTTCTTACCCCTTTTCTCACCTCGCTGTACTCGGTTCCTAGTTCCCCGCGTTCCTTGTTGCCTACGTTTCGCTTGCCCTTGTTTACCATCGTCGGTCGATCCTGATCCCAATCCATTCCTCTTTGCTTCTGGTCCGGTGTCCTGTGCTTTATCACTTACTACAATTACAATCCGTGCGTCAATCAAATCCTCCACGTTTCCACCACGATGTTGTTGTAGAGATTCCCCCGCTGACGTCTGAGCGCACGCAGTCTACGCCCCGGCTCTTTTTGCTTCCTAATTACCATTTACAAAGTTGTGCATCTCGCTATCTCACCCCGGCGACGCTCGGCCTTCTCTCGGCCCATTTGGTCTCTTTCACGAGCGCTCCGCGATTTCTAGGTGTATTGTACCTTGTGCTCGTCGGGTCGAACCGCAGCTGGTCGTGGCCAGTGCGGATCTCCTACCACAGGCGCTCGTTCTCATCGGTCGATTGAACTGAATACTCGACTGCGGCTTCTTGCTAGGGTTGATCACGAACGGCCACCTCTTTGACCATGGCGTACTTCGAGGCGATCTTCGGCCATTCATGGAGGCATGGACGATGCCATCCATCATCCGCATCTCTTCTGCGTATGGGCGTTGATGCGAGGTCCTCGGGATTTTCCCATGGACGTACATACTTGCCCGGGGCGCCTATCGGGTTCGCGTGAAGCCTGTCCAGATGTCCATGTCGAGAGATCCTGTAGGATTTGAAGAGTTCCAGCGTTCACAGAGTTCCAGATGTTCACGGCGTCTGTATGTTTGAGCTCGGTACTTCGAAGGGTCCTGTTTCTGGCCTCATTGACGCTGTCGAGTAAGCTTTCCATCTACCATTCATCTGACCTTATGCGCGAACGGATAAGCTCAGACTCGCGTATGTGGACCTCGGAAGGTATGCCGCCGCCTTAGACTTCTCTTCTGTATGTTATCGGCTATGTCATGCTCAGCACTGACGTACGTTACCCGTATGCTCATCTACAGCCAAAGTCTACATCTGTTTCGCGTTCGAGTGAATCTCTGACAAGCTTTCTTGCGCGATGATGAAGCATCGTAGATTGGGCTACATACAGCGCTGCGCGCGGAGAGTTAGCCGCGGACCAGATTGTAGACCGCGATTCCGTACGAGCCGGTACATTAAACTTGCGTAAATACCGTACAAGATGACGCTACAGATCCCCCGCTGAATTATCGGCCAGCGCGGGCCCATGCGCATCAGCTGCCACACCTCGTCCTGCTCCAGCCCTCCACCATACAAAGAGCCTGTAGAGGCTCTATGCACTTTACACTGCGCACGACGCTCGGGGCCGAGCTTCATAGCGTGGTCGTTCCGCTCAGGGCGGCCGCGGGGAAAGATACACAGCACGCACGGCTTCTGTATATCACGCGATGGGACCTGCCGCGGGAAGCTTCGTCTTTCGTCAGGCACGGAGCACAGAACTCGTGGTACGGTGGCCCATGTGCCTCGCAACTCTATTCAGCTGTTCGATCGCTTCTCGATGACGCGGCGCTGGCTATTGGCCTGTTGGCCCGTGGACCTCCCTGCGGTTGAGAACGTTTGAGCGCTTGAGCGGCCGTTACATATCTTGCGCATTGTGGACGAGGAGGAGGTGGGTATATGCGCGCAGCTTTGGGATTGCGAGGGTGTCGATCGTCACGGCACGTACGGAGACCTCTCTCCGAGCCCGTCGGACGACGTCGGTGCGCGTCGGCGAGCACGATATGCACAATCGGTATCGCGCACTCGAGCGTGCGTCTCCCGCTGCGCTTGCCCACATCGGTGCCGAGAAATGGCGCGAAAGTCGGGTCTATCTGTGTGATAACGACGCACGGGTGTAAGCGCACCGCATGAAGAGGTGGGTCATGTCATGGAAGCTAGATATGTAGACTGTGGTGGTCGGTGCGGGACTTGCTACGGTCCGGTGTCTTGAAATTATTATGAGGCGCGCGCGCGCCGGCCGCGGCTTGGCTAGAATTAGTGCGCGGCGGGAGCACGGGTATCGCGGCCGTCGCGACGCGATGAGGACGGGTTCGGTGAGACGTCGGAAGAGCCGCGTGGCGCGATGATCACACGGGGCGGGCTCGTCAGCGCGTCTTCAAACGCAGAAGAGACGAGCGCGGGGGACAAAGGATGCGAGGCACTGTGGGTCCGTGGTGCCTTTGCGTGTTCATGGTTCTCTCTATACAGCGCGACTGCTGTGCCTAAGTACTTTGGCCGATACGCAGATTAAAAAGGCAAGGCGTGGCGTCGCGTTTGCATATTTGCAATGGAGATGACAGAAAACGTCGGGACATGGGATCGATCTGCATGGCGCGGGAGGCCGTTGCGTCGCCGGCGGCAGCGAAGGACCGTACCGCACCGTTGGCACGGATGCGTATCCGGTTCCGGGCTAGGATGGGCTTGGTTTTTGTTAGGAGGATAAGATAGAGGGCGGGATGTGAGCGCGTGTAGGTCCGTCATGCAGCGTAAAAGGAGTACGGGAGGGGCAGGGACCGAGAGAAGCAGAAGAGAGGCACGGAGGGAGGATGAGGAAGAAGCTCGACGGTCGGTGGGATAGACGCTCGAAAGTGGGCACGTGGAAGGGTATGAGCTATCGGATGCTTCGGGAGCTCTACGGTGAGCGATAAGGTGCCAGGATCGGATCAGAACAGGCGGAAATTCCGAGCAGGGAGGGCGTACGTAGTGTGAGAGGGGTTGTGGGTCGCGTAGGTGGCCAGTAGGTAGAGAACACAGTAAAGTACCACAAACGACGAAGAGAGAACAAAGCAGACGACGAGAAGGAGGAGCGGAAGGAAAGAGCGAGATCAGCCGGAGGGGGCGGGCCGATGGCAAGATGATGATTTCGATTGAAAGTCCGCGTGGGGTGCCTGAGAAAAAGGGCAGGGACCAGGCACGGGAAACGCTTATAGGGATCGTGTCTGGCTCTGTGTGCCGGTTGATGGCCTCCTCCCCCCTGGATCCCGTCATGCCCAAGGTCGAAGAGCCCACGTCGCCGCTCGAGCCGGTGAGCGAGAACGGCGACGTCAACGCTACTGTCGCCGTCGACGGCTCTGCCAACGGCGACGAGAACGGTCAGCAGGCTGGGGCTGGCAATAAGCGGTTTAGGCCCGCGCCGGCCAAGACGTTCCAATGCAGGGGCTACGGCGACTGCAGGATGGTCTTCAGCCGTTCCGAGCACCTCGCCAGGCACATTCGGTTTGTGTATTTTTGTTTCCATTTCGTCGCGCGTCTGTTGACTGTCGGCTAGCAAACACACTGGCGAGCGGCCGTTTACCTGTCACTGCGGCAAGCAGTTCTCGCGGCTCGACAACCTGCGCCAGCACGCGCAGACGGTCCACGCGGACAAGGCCGAGCAAAACGAGCGCATGATGCGCGACCTGACCAGCCTGCACGCGTCGATGGCAGCCGCCAACAAGGCGAGCCAGCAGCGCGGGAAGCGGGCCGCCGCTGCCGCTGCCGCCGCGGCTGTCAACGGCGGCAACTCGCGGGTGAAGCAAGAGGAAGAGCCGTTGCCACAACTGTACCGTCCGGGAACGGCCGCGACGGGGTACGAGAGCTTCTCGCAGTGGCAGCAGCCACCGCAGGCGGACATGGACCGCCCGAACAGGCAGGTCGCGCTCTATTTCCCCAGCCGCACCCTTGCCGACGTCGCTCACGCTGCCCAGGACACAACCGAGTCCCTTCTCGCCCGTCGACTCGACCGGCAGCCCACCGGGCCGAGAGCCGTCGGTCCACGACTACCGCCCCTCGCAGCGGTCGTCTCCGCTCTCCCCCAACCCGAATGGATTCCCGTACAACAGCCAGCTGGACGTCCAACAACTGCCCCGGCAGCGTACTTCCCCGCCCTCCCTCCCCCTGATCCACACAGACCACGCACAGGATCAATCGCTCGCCCATTGGAATACGGCTCCCTACTACCCTCAGTCCCACAGTTCGATTCCCCAGCTCGAGAGTACGACTCTCCCTTT